TTGCAGGCTCATCCATCGCATTAATTATTAATTATTAGTTTAATGTTAATAAAGTAAAAAATAATAATAAAGACGATTTTTATTTATTTTTTTCTTTTACTTAGGGTAGGGCTGCATGGGAAAATTTTAATTGAAAAAGGGCACCGCGATTAGGAAAAGTTTGGAAACCACTGCCTTAGGGCATTCAACACGAAATCGCGAGCTTAGTGTTGGCGGGTTATCACTTTGCTATATCAGTTAAGATACCGTATATCTGTTTCCTTATGTATCCCAGTCTCTAGGCTCTGAAATTCTTGACGAAGGTGACCCCAATGATATTTATCGTCAAGCCACAATACAACCATACTTTTCTTTATCCTTTATCTCTGTGCGCCTAAAGAAGCTGGTGAGCAAATTTGAAGTCTAAGCATTATTTAATCTTGGAATCATATTATTTTTTAAAAAAAGGGGTACAAGAGAATCCAAGAACATTTTTTCATGATATTTATTGCAAACCAAGATAAAAGTTTGATACGTAAATATCGAGTCTATATAGAGGGTGCAGAGACAAATAGAAGTATCGCCAGATCAGTATGAATAGTTCCATTAAGTCTGTTAAGTTGAATGTAAGTGGTTTACTGAATGGGTTCAAGTGATAGTCCTGCATGGTTAATCCGATACCATTGCTCAAATGAGATTGGAGATCATAGTCGACCAAAGGTCTGATAATAAATGACAAAAGTGTAGAAAAAACCCGCCTAGCCCAGGTTAAGCCCTGATGAAGAAACAATTTTGAAACACTTAAATATTAGAAGAGGTACAATCGTAATCTCCCCTCGAGCTCTAAGTTGCATCTAGGTGCTAAAGGAAGCATGCTTAGTTATCTCCTGCTGTGTAGGTACTGAGCTGTGTATAACCAAAAATCACTCCAATTATTTTAATAGCAGCTTCCAACAAATGACTGTTGAGAACTCATACTACCGATAAGTAGTGGGAACAAATTATGTATAAAATGTAGCGGCATAGAACAGGGCAGCACAAACTAAATAGCGCAGAAAGCGATTAGGCCCGATGAACTGTTTAGCCAATTACACACAGGAAATGGGAAAGGGATCTATCCAGCTATTTCGCCATTAATACATACTCTTTTCACGTTGGCTCACTCCCTATAGGAAAGTGATCAGTTCCGATGCAAGTCGGTACGCGTGAAATACAATGTGCATTTGGGAGGAGCAGATTCCTGTTGAGATTAAGTTGATGTGAGGAAAGGATGAAAGAAAAAAAGGTTCACTAATTTTAATTCTAATTACTTGTACTAAGGTAATTCACGAATCATTTGTAGGACGCGGCCAGCAAAGGGCCTGATTGGTGAAATTTGAGGTGAATAACAACTGGGAATGCCAACAACATGCATGTGTTCAGTAGGCGGTTAGTTTGTACACATATTTTATGTTTTTATTCGTAGCCTGTTATGAAATTCACTGTCCAAAAGCAGAAGGGAAAAATACGTGGAATAAAATCAGCACTTTACAAGTGTAACGGATAGAGCGATGGAGATAGACGTGAGAACAACAGTGAATGAGTGCTTGGATCAGTGTACGCAGATGAATGATTGATAAATATAGGGTAAAGGTAGAGAAGGAAATTAAAACATGTCTAGTGGTAATTCTGGAGATGACATTTACAGAAGAAAGCAGGATACTCGTTTGAGCTCCAACCTTTTGCCCGATTTACTTGGCAAAATTGTCGTGAAATGAAAAACAGAAATGCACCCCAAGGTTAAAGGAATGAGATCGACTTTAAATAGCCTTGAGAAAAAGATGAAAAATGTGATCTCGGCGGTTAATTTAAAACGATACAGAAAGAGGTGGCAAAATAAGAGAAAGGGTGGGCAATTTAGACTCAAAGGTGATTTATCGTTCATAAATACGACTGTAGTATATAGAAAAAGGGATGAAAAAGAGTAAGTGGATAACTGCTGTCATATATACAATGATGAATGATTGATTAATGAACAAAATGCAACAGTAAGGACTGATTTTTGAATGGATGAAAGCGTGTATATATATGTATACACACGTATTCAGGATGAGTGCCAATAACTGGCCAAATGCAAACACGAATGTATCGGAGATAAAACAGCCACTCAAAAGTCCCTTAATTTCGTGTATATCCAGTTTGACTTTGCTCTTGGCATTGCATTCTCTAATGCGTCTGTGATTTCCTACACAGATCTACGCATCTGCTCATCTCGTACTACGAAAAAGAAACCATATCAAGCAAAAACTGGTAAAAAGAGGCGTTGCATTTGGAGACGCTTTTTTTCCAGGTTGAATGCATTCATATAAACAGAGGGAATAAAGAACGCCATCAAGTGTGCTCTTCAGAAAAGGAGGAAGGCTAGAGAAAAAAGAGAAGCTGAGGTGCCAATAGATCATCGTTTGGAGGAGTAAATGACCTCGTAGAGATTTGCCCGTTTATCGCCAGAGCCAGTGACTACATATTTATCGTCTGGTGAGATATCACATGTCAGCACAGAGGCAGCCTCTTTCGTCTACAGTAATAGCATGAGGAAATTGTATTAGTGTTTTTCGTTTGTTAACATTAATAATTAAGAAAAATTAAATAATATGAAATTATGACTTCCGTTATTATGCTATGCAATTCAATCTGAGAGTGAAATATAACAAGCAAATGTTTAAAACTCATTTTTGAAAAGACGCTAGAATAAATTAACTATAAAAAATGAGTATCAAGGTATTGCTAGTGAAAAGTTGGCGTGGGCTAATTTCTTTATGTGAGAAACAAATTCATGCAGACATTGGGACCAGATATATCGCTTTCGAACTCACCCCAGATTTCGTGTTTTTGTCCTGGACAAACTGCAAAGAAGATAACTATCAAACCATTAGGTGCCATGAAGCCATCCATTATCGCTCTACTGTTTGTCTCACTAAGCTATCTAAGTAAACACATTAGAGAAAAAGAGGACTAGCATCATAGGAACAAGGCTAAGACTGAAAGTTAGGTTTCATTTATAGAAGTATGGAAATTTGTTAATTGCTACGTGGAGGTCATTAGTATTGTGTAGATATGGTTGGCGAAATAGTGCAAGTCAATAGGCAGGTCTTTTCGGAAAAAGGCTGATGCATGCTAGAATCCAGTCTGCTGTAAACGTCTAAAAGTAAAATCAAAATAAGGAAAGCCTTAAGAAAACCCTCCTAAGTTAGAGGGTAAACCTTACCTCGAGAAGACAGGCACCGTATGGCGTTCTCCAGGCGTTCACTTGATGGTCTTTGCCAGTAGTCAAGAACCAGTCAGCAGTGTGAGCAAACCGTAGAGCTAGGACGCAGCTATCATGCCGAGTCAATCTGAAATGCTGTGGTAGGTTTGGAATTGAAGCTGGGGAGGTCGAGGAGGAAGAGGCTTGTCCACCGGTGATGGCAGAAGGCACCGAGAGGTCGGTAGGGACAGGAGACGGCGAGGAGGCAGACGAGGATGACGTAGAGGTGGCTCCGGAGCCGGTGGCTGCTGGTTCTGTCTTCACAGAGGAGCTACCTATAGCATTTGTGGCGGAAGATGCAAGGGACGTGGAAGTGGCTGGAGCGGAAGCAGATGATGAAGAAGAAGATGATGATGATGAACTCAGAGTCAACGGAGGTCCATCAGGACCGATGGCGACCACTTCAACTTCTGAAGATTCGAGGCCAACGGCAAGCCAGCTATTTGTCGGAAAAGCAGTTTGATATGTGGCAACAATGGAAGCAGGACTCATACTCCCACGGCCAGCTTCATCAAGAATTTCGGAGCCTGGGGAACTGGGACCTATAAGGAAGGAGACAATAGAAGAGATAAATGTCAGACTAGGTGATACAATGGCTTTGATTAGCGTTGCCATGAGTTAATGTTGAATATCGTAAGAGGTAATTAAAGCTCCATTAGTTCATTTATTCAAATCCAGGAATTTAAATTGAGTATCATAATATCGATACTTTAAAAGAGTTATAGAAAAATAACGAATGAAGAAATTAAAAAAAAGGAATCAAGCCAGTACCGTTAATCCACCAACAATTTCACTGAATTACCAAAATAATAACTTATTTTAGACTCAAGAGGACACAAAGAGGAAGAACAAAAATATCCATAATCTGTGGTACCTAAAATAAAACATAAATGGCATGCACTATGATCCAAATTTCATGAAAATTCCAGCTGAAAAGATTAATTTATTCATTACTCGCTTCGAGTATAATCCGCGAATTTCGGCAAAGTCCAACTGTGCAGCTGTAATTATTGGTGTCAATGTGATAGATTTATAGTTGTGATTATATAAATATACACAATCGAAATATCTTTAAAATGGACTTAGTCCTTCGATGAAAAAGAGGTCAAGTGTTATGGTAATCATAATTATTCGACGAGATAAACGATAATCAAGGGAGCAAGAACGAATGAAGGTCGCTAGGTCTATCAAAAAATAATAAACTAGTAGACAGAAATGAAGTAGATTTAATTGTACTTTTATCTCTTTTACTTCTTGTAGGAACGATTGTATTAGGGATTTAAGAAACGGGTACTCAGAAAATGGCGAAGAGTGATCTTTGATCAACATGTATGCATACTCGACCTTCGCAGTAAACGTGACAGTGCATCGAAGCTTGTAAATCCATTTCGAGCTGCCGTAGATAGCTTTACAAGCAATAGTTCTCGGAATCGCTGAAAAAGCAGCAACTCAGGACAAAGCGATGATTCCCTTCTACCATACAGATGAATTTTTAAAAATGTAGAAATCTATTTTACTTGATCGTGTTAGTAGTTCAGTCTGTGTGGCGATCAATAGGATATACAGCTGGCCGAAACGAATGTATGATCTCTCAATTCCATAATCTCTAGCCTGCTTTTAGTTATACAACCGCGGTCAAAACCAAGGAAGCAACAATTAAATGATAGATAATTCTTAAACAAAAATATGATATTAACCTAAAGTTTTAGCAAAAGAAGTTACTTATTCAAGTGGCGAATAGGAAATGCGTATATATTGAAATTAAAGGCCATCCGAACCCCAGGTTCGAGATAATAATAATGCGAAATCAGATGTTACTCTATGATGACTAACATACATTTTATGAAGATGAATAAATAGGCTTGCACCAACGAACAGAATTGTGAAACAGATTTATCCGAAACGTGGTGGATTTTAAGTGATCGCATATCATAATTTAAAACTATATACATAAACACTTCATTTATTTATTCCAATTAATTGGCTATTTTGTAGTATGATGAATTTTGCTATTAGAATCAAAGTGAATCTATATGAATAATCGTGTATGTCCAAAAATGTTCTTTTATTAAATTGATTGATTAGGATATGATTTTATAAAGTGGCTTACCTACCTTATAACAAATCCCTCTTAAATAATGGATTAAAATAAGTTTGTTTCATATGCGAGTACATTATTTTGCAAAACGTATGTAATAACTAAGGGGAAGTAATGATGAACGTTTTCAGAATTGAAGAGATATTAGGAAATGTAAGGATAATAATACCTTAGCGTTTTCTAATTTTAACAAAAATGCGATTTAACCCGGAATTGAGTTTGATTTTTGCACACTTCGTGAATTATATGACCTTACGCATAACTTAAAAAGCGGAAATCGAATTAAGATTTTTCTGAACATAAAGAGCATAGTACTATATTGATCAAATGATTTGAATATTTCTTACTCACTCAGTAAAAAAATTCAAAAAACAAAGCAGAAATTAAATTAAGAAGACACAAATGAGTAGCATGCTAAATGAGAGAGCGAATTTCCTCTCGGGCAATTGGCCAAACAGTGCAAAAGAAAATAAAGAGTAGTGAAGCTACTTATACCATAATGCTAGCAGGTTGCACTGAAATAATGAATACAATAAAGCAAACTGATTTATATTATGCCAGTCATTCCATTAACTGTATTTCTAATCTACCAAATATCTTAGTAGGTGCCACAACGATTTACTGAAATATGATCCTTGGAATCGTTTAGGCCTTCAAAATTCGCTCTAGATTTTGAATACTGCAATGAATGGCAACTAGTGGTTATGACAACGCTACATAGCAGAGACCGAATATAAAGACTTAATTTACATTCAAGTAACTGTTTTCTAAAAATAAATGATATGGAAATAAATTAATGGGACTAATATGGTGAGCCTGCACACCATGAATTATATTTCTTCTAATT